TCGCTAATGCAGAACTTAAACATCAATGTCATATCTGCAAAAGCATAAAGAGGGTCATAATCTTTAAACGGTCATAATTCTGACACATGTAGGGGACCTCTCAATGCCCCTTCTTTTGTGAGTTTAAATTTTGTATATTAACTTATGTACCCCACTTTTCAAACGACGCACGAGGTATCTTACCGCAGTAGGTAATTATATTATGGGTGTACTGTCGAGTCAGCTCCTTCTCGAACATAAATTCGTCGACCAGAATCAGACACTGGGAGGACAACAAAGTATTGGGACCTTTGTACCGTGCAACGAGGGTCAAGTGACTCTCGTGGTAAATCGGTTTATACGAAAGTGTTGTAGCTCACGACCATTCTATTCTATATTGAAAATCACTAGGCCACTGTATGAAGCATTAGTCTGGGGTGACATATAGGTTGGGTTTATGTACATTTTTACTGACATAGAACGTGAGGGTGTCGTAAATGATAATAAAGTGTATCTTTAGACCGTTAGTTTTAGAGACATTAAGTGTTTAGTTACAACATTATAGTGTGTTGTAACATTTTAAGTTCCTAAAGTGTCGTAAATCTCAGTATCAATTTCTCTTCTACTAACATAGTTTTCGGGGACATTATAGTGTTGTTTTATAGGTATTTCGTCATCTTAACCTAAAGTGTAATAAAATTGATAATAAAGTGTCATTTCGGTTAATAGTTTTAGTAGAATCGTGTTGGTACTATCTGATATATATATTTCTTGTGTTGAGTAATGACCTTTTAAACTTAACGTGCGTAACGTGTACACGTCTATGCGTGATGAAGATTGGCCGGCACACAGACCGTTGGGACAGAGGGATTTTTAATGCGTAGGTGTCTTGTTTGACGTAGTAGGTTAATGCAAAGTCGGATCTTTGGACATAAAGAGTTGCTATAGGTCCCTACGGACTGAACTTCTAAGATCGTGTCCCGTCAACCTTTTTTACGGGGTTTATCGCAGAATTAAATGTGGTCCCTCGGATTCGTACGAACGAAGCCTGTAGCTTTTAAGTCCTTTGGAGGTGGACTCGTACAAATCATTATAATTGAAACCTTTCCTGTAGGCTCTCCTCACCCTGTTTGTCTGTGTAGTTTAGTGTAGGTGTAGTCTCGGCTTCGGTGATTTATGAGAATCTTGACGATCTGTAGCGCCCTGAACCGCACGAGATAGTTGGAACTCGCTCTCACTTTCGCCGAAATTTGCCCCTTTCGCGAAAAAGGGCAAAATTCGCGATTGCGAAATCTGTAAGCCGCGTCGTCTCCCTACTTAGACCTAGATGAGAAGCTCTGCCTAGGTTGCTGGTGTTTCGGTTTCGACAGCCTGGAAGAGAACACGGCAGGATCTCAAGTCCGAACCCGCCATAGTCCATAATGCATATGGTCGCCATAAAGACGGGGGGGTGGACCCGTCCGAGTCCAGTTTTGCATAGTCTGCCGTGGTTCCATCCCATTTCAAAGTGCTGTTTGACACTCGGCGTAACGGGCGTAACCCTCGATGCATTCCAACATCCAATCACAGCTTGAGGACTAATCACGTGGGTTGTCAAACAGAGCGGAGAGAATACTTACTTCCGGGTGTAAAATTCTCTAAAGCAACTTCTTTGAGCTGCTCCGACCCTCGGTCCTGACGGACTCCAAATGTCCGGCATTATACAATCAAACAAATAAATAAACAGAAGGATAATTGTGTCTTATTGTTGAGTAAATAACACCGTGTGGTTTAGAAAATAATACAAAATTAGAAGTACGAGTTGGGAGTGAGAATGTGTTGGTATTTACCCTGCATTATGCACATGTTATTAATAAAGGATTATGTTATTGTATGAACTCTATTTACAATGTATTCACATTAATAGTTCATAATCAACGAATGACAAAATGCAGTGACAAGAAAACAACCATTGTATAGCATTTGTTTGAGTAATAAGAGGCAGTTAAATATAAAGGCAAGGCAATTTATTTTCATACACATCAGCAAGTCAAAGCGCTTTAAATAAACGGAAGTACAAAATACAAACACATTTTCACATTACTATGAACTCAGTCGGGCGAAACAAGTGCATAATTTCATATCGTTCTCATATATAGTGTTTTATAATGTTACATTACATTACATTGCATTTAGCTGACGCTTTTATCCAAAGCGACTTACAATAAGTGCATTCGACCAGGAAGATACAAACTTGAAGAAAACAGAATCATATAAGTACATCAGGTTTCATAGAGCCAAACATTTCAAGTGCTACTCAACTGGCTTTAGATAAGCCAGTCCTTTGTTAGTGGCGCTTTGTCACGATCAAAGTATAGCAAGCAGTATATATGGCACCAAAATATTACAATGTATGTAAATTGTAAAAAAAAAAAAAACGTAAATCGACGCGAAATAGGTTCGCTGATGTTCTTCACGTAAGCTGGTCCTCTATGTTTGAACTTCTTTTGTTCTAGTATATTCAATGTAGACAAGTATCTCGGTTTTGTAAATTTCCACGATGAGTTGCCGAAATCTATTCGGTCAGGAAACAATGCGATATGATTTCACGAAACCAATCATGATAACAATCATCAAGGAAACAATCATTAAGAAACAATCATTAAGAAGCATTATCAAGATAGCGAGCTCGACTCAGATTTCTCTTAATCAAAAGTAAGCGCGCCTTCTACACATCTCGAAAGACGGCAGGAGCTAAAGTTTACCCTAGAGTAAGTGGTAGAGAACCTCGGTCCTATTCGTTTGGGTGCACCAAAAACGACTACTCCTTGGAAACCCAGGGAGGAGCGTCACGCCCACCGTCGCTGACAAACCGGCTTCGCTCGCCTCACGTGAACGAACCCCACATCGCCAAATTGTACAGACCTACATCCTTCCCGTTTCTAGGTAAGTTGTCGTACCATGCGTTCATGTAACGAACTTACCTGAAGACCGTTCAAATCGACCTTGTCACTTCCCTCGCCTCCGCCGCACCACACCCTCACAAAAACCTTCCAACTTCTGGTCTGCTCCGACGAAGACAGAAATCAACATACCGAAATTTCAGACACACAAAATTTACACAAAACAGTAATAATACCGCACGTGGTCCGTACACCTGCACTGTGCAGCGAACACTTTCTCGAGAGGTCACGGAGACACGACACGAACCGTTTTTGGAACATGTCCTAGAGAAGGAGCTGCGAGTCCCGATCACTCACGATCCGACACGTTAAATTAGCTAGACGCTATGATGGACTTTTTCTCCCCCCGACCGGTAGACAACCTAAATGGATCGGATAACACACACTCCAATATTGTTAAGTGAGTACAAGGCTTCGTTTGTACATTTTCATTAACTCATTCTAGATGTAAAATTACACCTCTCTCATGTACTTACCACAATCCAGTACAACCCTATTTTACTCAGTTAGTATTTACATAGTAAGGTCGGCGTACCGTTTGTATGGGCCGGGGCGCTTTAGCGCGTTACGTAAAGAAACATTTCTGTTCGTCGTTCCTCCGTCGTGACAGAGGCGGTAATGGGTCGAACCAGCCTTCATACCTACCAACGCTTATGTAACCTTATTAACTCAATACCGCATTGGTATACGTTATATTACGTACTTGTCAGTGGTTGTATTAATTACTTGACAGTACTTCATAAACGAGAGCACGACAACTTAATGGTACACGATGCAAAGAGACACTTTACAGCCCACCTGCCGGGCGCGTTCCAACCGAAGGCATAATGAATATTACGATAGACAATTAAATACGGTAACAATCGATTGCCAGCGTAATCCTAACTTGGCATCGAAAGTTTGCTTTTCGAAACCAGTTCGCTCGTCATGTCAAAATGTAATGTCAGAAAATTAATTCTCGACCCCGCGAGTGAAAAATCGGTCGGGTGCGAGGTTGTGCAATACGATTACGATCGGTCCCTTTTTGCCGTAACGAAATATAATTACAGTTACGAAACAACGAGCGACGGTCTAACGGACGACGTCCTAACGGCAGTCTGCTCGCATCACGGGAGACACACCGAGTTCAAAGACACCACTACATACATAAATAGAATTTTATTGTCCTAATCTTCACACCATAGCAAATATGTTCAGTTAATATATGGGAACTTTTGGACTACGCCCAATGATTTCCCGATTGCCGACTGAATGCCCCGATTGCCCGAATCGTACCAATTGCGTGGCCCGGTAGTCGAAATCCCGTATATAGTAAACACGCAGGTAGTAAGCCGGGCACTATCGTCTGTCCGATGATACGAGGATCAATGTCTCGTTTACCGATTAATAATACGCGTCGTGTACCAATTAATAATTAATAACAAGACTCCATTTCGTTGTTTAATTATGTGACTAACCCGGTCCATCGTCTGATTTCATCGTCTTTATCCATGGTCCAGAACCATGATATATGCCAAGTTGTGTGTATGATATATATAATGCACCGTGCCCTGAGGCTAATTTTTTTAATTAGATTACTTAATAGTCCGAAACATTAATTAATTAGTGTTAAATTAGGCGTAAAAAATTAGTGTATATTTATTAAGTACTGGACTCTTGTCACCTTTTTTAACGAAAGAGTGACAAGGAGTCCAGTTTATAATATACACGCTAGATTTTTACGCTAATAACGATAATTCGAATTAGATGTTTCGACATTAAGTAATCTAAGGTTAAAAAAGTTAGCTCAGGGCCGGGATTATACTATTATACGACAAACTGGCTATGATCTTCTTTTTTTTTTTTTTTTTTTTTTTTTTTTTTTTGTTTGGTGCCATGGATAGAGACATGACAATCAGACATGCGACGGGTTCGTCACAAACTTAAACACACGAGATGGAGTCTGTGTATTAATCTATTAATTGGTACACGACGTTTATTAACGGTACCACGAAGACCATTGATCTCGTATATTCGGACAGGACATAGTGGTTCTTACTGCGTGTTTATATACGGGATTTCGACTACGTGCCTGACGATTGGTACGATTCGGCAATCGGGGATTCATCGGCAATCGGGGCAATCATGGGTTAGTCCAAAAATCCCATTAGTATAAGACTATTTGCTTGGGTGTGAAATACGACAATAAATGTCTATTTTATGTATGAGTGGTGTCTTGAACTCGTGTCGTCTCCGGTGATTGCGAGCGGACTGCCGTTAGACGTCGTCGTTAGACGTCGTCGTTGTTGTCGTAACTGTAATTTTTTTCGTACCGGCAAAAAGAACGATTGTAAATCGTATTGAAACCTCGCACCGAACCAAATTTTTCGACTCGCGGGTCGGAAGAATTAATTTTCTGACATTGCATTTGAGCATGACCGAGCAACTGGTTTCGAAAGCAAAGCTTTCGATTGCATCTAGGGATTACGCTGCAATCGTCTGTTACCGATTTAATTGTCCTCGACATTCTTGATGCTTGCGTTGTGGAACGCCCCGGGGTGGGCTGTAAAAGTGTCTCCTTTGCATCGTGTACTATTAGTTGTCGTGCTCTCGTTATTGAAGTAACTTCAAGTAATGAATACAACCACTGCAAAGTTACGTAATGATAACGTATACCAATGCGTAATTGATTATAAGGTTACATAAGGTTGGTAGGTATGAATGGCTAGTTCGACCCATTACCGCCCTGTCACGACGAAGGAACGACGACCAGAAAGAAGGTGTTCTTTACGTAACGCGCTAAAGGCGCCCCATATAACGACGCCACCTTAACTATGTAAATAAACTAACTGAGTAAAATAGGTTGTACTGGATTTGTTAAGTACATGAGAGAGGGGGTATTTTTACATAAGAGATGTCTAAAGCTACTGGACTGTCTCTAACGTGTACCCGAGTTTCACAGGAGTCACCTTGCCTCCGTGAACATTTTCGGGTTGTGTGTTGTCCGGACATTTCGGATGTTCGCCCGTCGGCGATTCGGTACTAAAGTTACATATCGGTCTTGCTAACTTCCTGTCAGCCTACTGCTACTGATTGATCGGGACTCAGACTCCTTCTTCTGGACATTTCAAGACGGTCGTTGTGTCTCCGTGACCTCTCGAGAAAGGTGTTCGCTGCACAGTGCAGGTGTCCGACCCGTGCGGTATTTTACTGTTTTGTGTAAATTTTGTGGTGATTTCGGTATGTTTTATTTCTGTCTTACGTCGCGAGCAGACCAGAAGTTGGAGGTTTTGTGAGGGTGTGGTGCGGCGAGGAGGCGGAGGCAAGTGACCGAAGGTCATTGACGATCTTAGGTGAAGTTCTGTGCACATGAACGCATGTACGACACTTACCTAGACCGGGAAGGATGTAGGTCCTGTACCAATTTGGCATGTGGGGTCGTGCACGTGAGGCGAGACGTAGCCGGTTTGTCGAGCGACGTGGCGTTACGCTCCCCCTG